GAAACCAGCATTAATCCGTCGATACAATTTAAAATTTAACGTTTATGTTATTTATACGACGAATACGTATTAAACATTTGTATTGATAAGGATCGAAATTGGCGATCGAAATGTCTACACTTTACGTTTTAACCAATAAATTTATCACACACGACTAACTAGTGTTGGCTCTCATAGATATCTTTATACCTGAATGATAATGTAACGAACGAATTAACTCACCGATCGATACACTGTCGTTGCCTTCCGCTTGACTCCATCCTTGTCCGGTACATTCATTCGCGTGGATCAATCGGGGAAAATGCGACTAATTAGAATCGCGCGCACTAATTAACGCGACATGACACTCGTCCGTCATCTCTGCGCTGCACTCTCGACAGCTTGTTCTCCACTCGCGACGTACATACGAGTATGAACAAGTATATGACTCGAAACAATACGCGCGCGACACTGATCCAGACTTTCGTTACGCACGCGAGGTACACACACACCACTGTGACGTTGGTTATGTCGAGCCGCACGGCGGCAACTTCGCGTCGGTACGCGCGAGTCGTCGGTCGCCGCATTGCCATACGGCGCGAGATATATCGATAACTACAAACCCAGCCCGCAACATTAGAAAACTCGTTGCTAACTGTTAATTAATTACTAATCTCTAGAGAATAAAAGATGTATAATATCCTGATACGTCGCTCGTTAGTTTATGTTAATAGGTTTATACTTGAAATTTTTTATTTTAAATATCTGTGAAATAATGAAATAATGAATTTAATATATTAAACAAAATATTTTAATATTATTAAAGAAAATTTAAAACGTTCAACATCCAAAATATTTAAAAAATTAAAAAATGTTAAATATTAACATTAAACAAAATTTAATGTTAAAGTATTCAAATAAATCTGAACTTCTTTCTGTAATATTTACAAATGTTAGAATAAGGCTCGGTTTTTCGTTAACTTGTGGTTAAGCTTAACTTAATGTTTTGTCCAACTGGCTTTATTTGTGATGATGTCATGGATGAAGATAATGAAAAACCGGGCCTAAGATAGTAGAATTTTAACACATGGTATAATTTTAAAGGAAATTAAAATTTGAATTCAATTTTTGAACCCGATCTCATTATGTGGAAGGTACTAAAGGATATCATCAAAGGAAAGAATAAAACATGTGAATAGCTCGAAAATTGGATTCAAATCTTATTTCATTTAAAATCGTATTATTTTAAAAAATGTACATTTATATGTATCATTTATACATTTTTGAAATGTATTTTCACGGAGTCGAAAGTGATACGAAGTACCTAATCGCAATTACATTGTTGAATCATTATGAATAAAATAACCAATTACTGCGACGATATAACAATTGAATCGACACTTTGATCAATATGCCTCTGAATACTCGCCCGACTCCATTGTCAAAATAAATGTATTCCTGTCGATCTTGTCGACTGGAAAAACACGATTAATTAAAATTGCTAATTTTCACGTTACACATGATACGACGTTCGCCTGTCACTTCTCATAGTACTTTCAACGTTCGTCGCATATATAACGCTCTTTGACGAATAAATTAAGCGAAGTGACGAGTGCACGACACTCTCATTTAGATGCGATGTACTGCGATGTTAGTCGTATTCAAACCACAGCAATTTCACTCAACGCAACGTGATATACTCGTATGTATACCGATTACGAATCAAAACCGTAGCATTTAAAATATGGCTAATTACCCAGTCAGAAATCGTCGATTCGACGTCGAAAGCATCAAATCGACGTCGATCGACGTCGAATCGATGTCGATTCGATGTCGATCCATTATCATTTCTGACTGGGTACTGATTTCTAAAGCCCGGAACGTAATACAGCGCGTTGCGTTTAAAGTGATTAGCGCCTTTGCGGTTCAGAATGCAGAGAATTAGTTATAATTATTTTACGTATATGTGTATAGAAAGACATTTCAAACTGCTATTACATCCATTAATGGCAGATTCCTGAGATGAAAATTCTAATACCAAAAAAAAAAATGCTAAAATTTTTAAATAAGACATAAACACACTCATAATAGCAAATAAAATTAGACTAATATGTGAATAGCATAAATGAGCTGTATGATTAGAATTAGTATTGAGATTTGTACAACCGGTCACAGAAAGATTATTGCAACACTTTTTTTAAAATGGATTTCGGAATGCGGTTTTCTCACCGAGTGATTGGTTTTTACTTATGGATCTAACCATTTACGTTCGATTGCTCTACGAGCAAAGCTGAGTTAATCTATAAAAAAAAAAGTGCTGCAACCTTTCTGTGACCGGCTGTACATCGCCGGAAATTTAAATTGCAACATTGAGAAGGAAATTTCATTTTGACATAAAAATTTATAGGAAACATTGAAGGAACCGATGTGAATTAATGATTAAGGTTCCAAAAGATTAAACACGATTTGTTGAAAAATATTAAATATTGTGACAATATTTTATAATTTAATATCAGGTGCTTGAATACAAGTCCTAATTCTTGTTGGCAACGTATTGTACAGATGTCTAATATTATCTTGTGATATACAGTATTCCAAGCTCGTTCCATTTGTTCACGAGACAGAGGAAATGAGGTTTAAACATGGTATCCGCATCTTTCATGGGTTAACCCTTTAAAGAAGAGAATTTTCAAAGAAACTTGAAGGAAATCTTGTTTTCTAAACATTTTTTAAATTGTTGAATTCGATTCTGGTCTCAGTACATTAAAATTTAAATTGCAAAAAATAATCTGATTAAGTGAATCTTGGTTTTAGGAAGTTCTTGATATAGCTAAGACTCAATGTAGTTTGAAAATAACAAATTTCAAATGCTAGGATAATAATCTCCAGTGAAGGACATATCTAATAAAGAACTGTCACAGAGTTTATAATCAGAATTTCAAAGCCAGTTTGGAAATTAGTTCAAACTGTTTATGTAGCACTGATGGATTTCAAACAAATCAAAGTTGGAAATTTGATATTACTTTAAAAATTCTCTAAAAGTTTTATGTGTATGATAATTAGATAATTTAAAAAAAATTCTATCCGTTTTTTATATTAGATTTACTCTTTCGAATTTTTATTTTTGACCTGAGATTTGAATGAAACATTATCAAATTACATCTCATAAGCCAAGTTTCATAAAAATGATGTACGCATAATATAACTTTGAGATATCTTTCAGAGAGAGAGTTCTTCATGAAATATCTTAAAGATATTTCTATAGAATTCTTAAAGAGATTTTAAAGTTGTCGAATCATATACAACACGCTAAAAGGCCATAGAGAGTATCGTGGGAAGTGACAGCCGAGCATCATAATGTGTTAATTAGTGCGCGAAATTTCAATTAACGTGTTTGCCTGATGTGTTTGTCCAATCAACAAGAACGAATGTCCAATTCGGCAATGGAGTTAGGCAGGCAACAGCAATACATCGATCAGCGAGTCAATTTATTTATTACATTGTAGCAACTAATTGCTTATTTATTTTATTCGCAATCCTTACGATCAAATCACACTACCTTTTATTCTTTGCGAGAAATACATGCACGCATCACATGTGTGAACATCAAATTTGGTAACAAATAAACGCATATTCTTTGTTTTTTTAATTTTTTCCTTACTCTTGAATTTCTTACCACAGTCGTCGGAAAATTTCTGATTTCAATGCTTAATAAAAAATTCAGACACTTTTCAAGACAAATTCAGACAAAAGAATTTCTAACAAGTTGTCTGAATATTTCTAATTTTGATGTCTGAACATTTATACTTCGTTTAAAGCAGTTAAAATTTTAAGTTTTTTCCTAAAACTTTATTAAATTGCTTATTAGTCTTTAGCAACAGAATAACATTGAAAAATTTGACTAAAGAAAGCAAAGAACATCCACGCATTGAGTTATAAAATCACAGTCTGTCCGACTTTAAACATTGCTGCTTTTAAATATATTGTCTAATTTTTTTAGACACCAATTCTACATATTTCAAACATATTTATAGAAACTGTTTTGATAATTAAGACAAATTATGTAAAATTATTTTCAGGAACCCAGATTTGAAAATTCAGACAAAAATGTGTCCGAATTTTTAGACGATTTTTTGCAGCTATAAAGCTTGCAGCTCTATTTCTATGATTATTACTTCTACAGTGTTAGTAATAATAATCTTTTCTTAACATTCGCTTACTATTTATATGATAATAATAATTATTATATTAAGAAAAGCTAAAAATTTTTAAGCTATATATTTGCATAGTTAAAACAACTGTATAAATACATAATTGTAAGATATATAGTTGTAAAAATGATTATAAATTGTAGTAATTGTAATAATTAAATTATAGTAATTGCAACCACTTCTATCTCCCGCAGTCAGTAATACAACGCAGAATGTATCGCCTGCATTACACGTTACACGCAAATCTGTTATACTAGCAAATTATATACGCATAGCACGAAATACAGATGATTAATCATCGATCGCTGAAAGGGCTGTATGCTAATACGCAGCATATTGCTTAATCGTTTGTACTCGGAGCCATGAAAGGCTATAGAGGGTCATGGAGGATTAAATAATAAAAGTAATGTGACTTTTATATGATCTACTTCTCAAATATAAAAATTTGTATCATTATTATGAAAAAAATAAGATTTGAGAAAATTAATTCTGTATCCCTATTTCGGAAAGTAAAAAAAATTCGCAAAGTTGTATGCGTGTAATGAACGAAACATATTCCTGTACGTTTTATATTAATTATATATATATATGCCTATTTTTGTAAATAATGTATTATTTAGTTTAATAACTTTAATATTTTTAGTAAAAACAGATTAAACATTAGAAAGCGAACATGGTTAGTGATTTATTTTCTTCACATAAATTACCATATATAATTACTTAATACCAGTTTTTATATTTATGAAATACGACTTACAATTAGAGGTATTCATATATACGTTTGTTACATCAATGTATCGCTTCACAAAACTAAGCGCCTAAGAGACGTTTAACGAAGTATCCTGGAAAAGCGTAAATCCCGCATGCTACTAAAAGCACAAGTAGTGTACACGTAAGACAGCATAGTATTCGCCATTTATAATAGCGACAAACGACGAAACAACACGCTCTCCATGGATTGCGGAACCAAGAGAATGAAGTATCGGGTCGTCTATAAATCACAATATAATGCTATAATAACAATAATTCTCGATAATAACCAATAATTGGAAATATTGAATATAGAAGAGAGTTAAGCGGGTTAATTTCATCAAAATAGAACATTATTGAGGAAATAATATTCAAATGCATTTAATTTTAATCTTTGTATTAACTTAATGTTTAATTATAATTCAAGTAAGCGTAAGGATATAAATCAAAATAAAATTAGAGTGAGGTGAGATGAACCTCGGAGGTGGAAGATTTTGAGGTGGATCCCTTCCTTTGCCTGCCGGTTGATTATCTGCATCTATTGCTTTCAACACGGATATTTCCATTTCAATTTTACCCTGCAGTGAAAAAGAATATAATTATTACACGATGAAATATTTTCTAATAATTTTAGGTCTATTTTTTATTGATGCATTTTCTGAACTGGTACACATAGTGCAATAAGTAAAAGTGAAACAAATATACATTTGTTTCACTTTAATTTATTACATCGGTTTAAATTGCAGCAATAAAAAACAGACCTATTATTTTCATCTTTCTTCACAGAATAGTCCTCATCTAATTACGCACATATGAAATACGTATATAATTATACATTTGTTTTATAATTTAACCAAAACCTTTGCAGTTTTGTAACATTTTACCGCTTGAATATATCTGCCGCTGTCAATACCACGTACAAAAGGCCACCAAGCTCTAGTCCGAATAACTTTGAATAAATTTATTGTAGGTAATTGCGGTTCGAGTAATTTCAGCGTACAGTTTTTGGAGTTTGAACTTCCACGCGGCATTCTGGACAGGTCCAGTGTCAACTCTCCTGCAACATGTTGATTTATCGGAAGACTATTGTAACATTTATACAATATGATACTTCAATTAATTATAAGCTTGGTATAATTCATTTTTCCAGATATGTAAATAATTTTTGTTTCGCGAAATACAGTTTTCTCTTTACGCGCAAATTTTTTTATTTATACTGCAAATATAAATAAAAAATTGTTCTACAATTTATACAAACTGAATTTATATACGTATCCGAGTTGATTTAAAAATAATTGAGTATAAAGTGAATTATGTGATTGTTTTGCATCGAGTATTTTATCGGGTATTGTATCGCATGCCAGGTTCATTTAGTTTAATCTCGGCTACAGTCATCAATCGATATTTTAAACGGTTTTGTATTGAAATAAATTGATGGCTATTTTACCTAGAAAATCATCCGAAGAAAAATGATCACTGTCCCAGACTTGTAGATGAAGCTTGCAAGGCAACTTCTCCTCGATTTCATTTTTAGCGAACACAGACATTCTTCTGCGAACTATCATGACATTCTCGCCTTTCGAATACGTGACGTGAAATACGAATCTCCAGTTGAAGTTACCCTCACCGGTCAGGGAGTTATAATGGATGTCGGTTTTTTGGTAATCCTCGTATTGAATCCATCTACGCAGTTATTTCGAATATATAGCGAACTTGGCAATAGCGAATCGATCGATCGTCTCTACCATAAAGTCAGTTATTTTATTGCAATAGAATGAAAATTGATTAATATTACAAATAATTGACTAAAAATTAAATTATTGTTGGAGACGAAAAATAATAGTAAAATAATTTTCAAAAATGAAGATAAATTTCCATCTGACTTACAAAATGACTTTTTCGAAAATTAATTTTGTCATTATTTGTGCCTTATTAGGCTATAGAACTTTTGTCTGAAATGTTTTTCCGTATCTTCTTTATTTTTCGATATATTTGAACCATTACGTTTGAAAATTTTAACCCTATATATTTGATACAATAATAAAAATTAAAGACAAATTTATTCGCAAACTATATGGAATTAAAGTGAAAGGATCAAAATACATAGATGATTTAAATTGCATTTACGATGTCCTAAATTACATTTATGAATTGAAAATGAAAAATTTAAAGCGAGATATATTCGAATTTGGCAAAAATTGTTTCCAATATTACCCGTAAATATCACAAGATAATTTGCAATTTTCACTTTAATTTTCTATTTTTGCTCCAATAAATCACGTGAAATGTCTGCACTAAATATGGCCGAAAATTTCGTCTTGGTACACTTATGAATTGTTAATCAGGAGAGCTAATAATGTGATATCTGATAATTTGATCGAACTCTCGGATGTCATTCCAATGCTTCTTTTATCGTCATTATATGTAATCGTTAGATAAGTTTAATAAAATATTTTTACCCATCGATCTTATGGTCGATACGTTTGGTGACATACCCTTTGACATAAATGTCGGAGCATTTTTCTCCGGTGAGGAATTGGCTCTCAGTCAATGGCACGTCTTCGGTATTCCAAACAATAACGCGAATTTCATATTCCTCCGGTATTGGGGGAGCGATGTTGACCGCCGGTTTCGGTGGCAATTGTTCTATTCGAAACATGTCGATCCACATTTCGAGTTTGCCCTAAAATGCCATTTTTATACAGAAAACTTATAATATATATTATATAATCTTATATATATATATATAATATTATATAATCGTGCATTGCGAGAAAAATGTACTAAATTTTAATAAATAATTGTTTGAATCATATTAACAACATTTGTTTACGGAAAATAAATATTTACTAAATAACGAATAATAATAGTCAAATTAAATTAATGGTTCTTGTAAATAAATATATATTTACATTTAGTAAATATTCGACTGATTTTATTCAATCAAATATTTATGAAAATTTAACATTTTTCTCTCAATATACGATTAATATGCAAGGTTTAATATCTAAGGTATTTAATATCTTTAAAATTTTTAATATTAAGGTAGAAATATTTTCGCATTGTTACAGTATCTAATAAATTGATAAACTTATATATTTTTGAAATTGAATCTAACAATATTGGATCAAACGTAACTGTATCTATGATCGTCATTTACAATTAGTCATTGCATTACAAATTTTGATTGTTTACAGCTATTTAAAGAAAATTATTTGGATGTGCAATTGTAAAAATTAAATTTTAAAATAAAAATACGGACGTCAAATAAGGATCATTATTATTATAAAGAAAATACATATCCGAGTAAAAAAATTTTCAAGATCAGATTAAAAAATTGGATTTTACGGGGCTTTTTATTCAAAGCTTTTAGTTTTTTCGATAATTTTATCTGTAAAAGAAATACTGATCTAACGTAAAAATATCGTAGTCGTTTTCAAATTATAAACGGTTAAAATCAACCAATGCTATCGCATTTAAAATTTATATCAATTTATATGTAGTATATTGATTTTTAGGATATATTTTATTTTTATAACTTATTTTGTTTTTTAATTTTTGATAGTTATGCATTAAATACTCTCATAATCAACTAACTGTTTAACCTCTTTCCTTAAAAAAAGAATCAATCACGTTACATTTTAGGCAAAAATTTAATTTAATTTCTTATTTATTACGTTTACGAGAAGGATTATTAATAAAATCGTATGTTTCTCATGAGGAACGTAAAAACTTGGTACGTAATAATAACATGAAATTTGGTGTATAATAATTAATAACATTAATAATAATTTAATGTACGCGCGAATATTTTTTATCATAAATTTCATTTTTACATTAAAGTTAAAGTACAGCGATAATCTAGATCATCGAGGATAGAAAGCATTGAATTCGGCGTGATTTTATTTTATAAAGCATCGAATATTTCGAGTGTTGGTTTGACTGGCACGTAGCCTTGGTGTTTGTCATTGCGACGTACGACGTATTTACAAGATCGTCGTGCTATCATTCGCAGGCTCGAATGGGTAGGCAGTAGCGCGTGTTGTCGCGTTATCACTTCGCTAAACGCGGTTAATCCCTCCGAATAATTAGCGATTGTTAACTTTCACGGTTAAATTTTTAAACCCATCTATTATCAAAGCACACATTCCGCGCGATTGACTTGTGTTATCAAAAGTAAGTAAAATGTGTGTATTTATAAGGCAATAGGATATACTATTTACGCTAAATAATCGTGGAAGCTCATATATAGGTGGAGGCCATTTAATTGTTTATTTATTCTCATATAGAAAAAACTATTCTTATTTTTTTTATTTTATTCTTTTGTCTCTTTCATTTTATTCGTATTATGTAGAAAAGTATTGTAGAGAAATTGGAGCAACAGGACACGGGAGTTTTATAGACCGTTCTTGTTTCAAGATTAAGTAATGTCTTGTGATGCTAATACACGACTCTGTGATTGATTTATGGCATTTTAAGGGACTGTACTTAAGACAGTCATAAATATGAGAACTGACTATAAATGCCGACCATAAATTATTGTCTCGTGTTATTCACACGAGGTAATTATTTCTTCAGCGCGCGGATTCGAGTACATCGCGCGCTGCTCTTTAAAGCCCGCGTTACACTATGTATGAATGAGGATTGGATTTGTATTGCGAACTGTAAATCATTGATCGGCCAATCTAATTTGTAATTCGCAATCCGAATCCAATTCGCGTTCTCAATGCGTGAGACCTTAAAGTCTGTGTCGTACTACACATTGTAAACCAAAAATGGCGAATAAGAGATTAAATTTTAATCAATTGGATAATTTTAATCCATTTTATTCTGATTAGTGAAATTCCAATTTTCAATTCGCTATCCTAATCAAATTCCAAATGCATAGTCTATACAGAGAGAGAAAGATTTCTTTAAATTTAATATAAATGTAGTCATTGAAATAGTCCAAACAAATCGATTCTGTAAATTGAGAAACATAATTGATTGCATTCAATCTAAAGTTTTGAAATTAAACAAAATAGTTTTCATTCAAAATTAAATTGTTTCGATAAAATAAACATAAACAGGAGTTTCGAATTCAAATAAATTTTCCTCTCTCTGTAGCTAACACAGGTTTTCATTGATTTACATACAATTTTACTATTATTTTCGTATTAAGAACGCAGAATGATACACGTGTCGGTAAATTCAAATTACAGAAAGCACGTGTTTGGCGTGTTAGGTATATATCGTTTACCATATCTATTGTTATAGTCCCCGAGATATTTATTTGTTCAATGCTGCACGTGTGCAATACTGAGTCTCAATTTCATATTTCTCAACGTTCCATTACGCTTTAATTATCAATTAATTTGACTTTATCGTATCGTGTTGCATGTATGTGAAGTCGCTAATTTTTTGTTTATATTAACCAAATGTCACGTGTACAGAATTTTAGATTGATTACGGATTGAACAGCGTTGCGATATTTAATTAATAAGCAAAATTGTAATTATTAATTTCGTATTTTAATATTCGCTATTTGCGCATAGAGTAACTTTGGTTAGCGTATAAATACTGTTGATTTGAGAGATAAAATCCCTCGAAATTTGTCACATTCTGATAATTAATGCACCGCGTAATTAGCATATTTTCACGGATAGCAGTTATATAAATGCCATAAACGTGTAATAAATGAAAAGCAAGAGAAAAGGGAGAGATTGAAAATCCAGTCGCTGGACAACGAAGCAGCCACAAGGTAATTATAATGTTGTATTTGGCTGATACAAATAATATAATATTCTCTTTGCTTTACAATCTCACGATTAACTGTCACACATCAGTCCGAACCGTTAGCTTCGGAAAGTCGAATCGTGTCGACTTTCCTTTTATCAGTTGTAATTTTAATTGACAGCTTATCGTTAAGAGAGAATCACTCTTCATCTATCACTCTTCTTCTATCACTCTTCTTCTACCAATCCATCCCGAGTGATATCTCCCACAAAGTCCCATAACTTTGATCTAAAACATTCTTTTTCAAAAACTCTTTGATTTCCATATATTCGAATAAAATGGAACACGTTATATTTAATGTAAATCAAGAAAATTGCGTTCTCTACGTTTACCACTCAATGCTCACTTTCTAACACATAAATATGCGATTGATTTTATTTTAAAGACACATCAAAATGGTATGAAACGAAAAACATTTTATTTTAGCGCAATAAATAATAAATCTAATTTTCGTAACGTTTCCTAGATCTAGTAGATAAATAATTGTTATTTTATGTTTTTAGGAGATAAAGAATTTCCAACAGTTTCGAATAATGAATTTAAGTTTCACCATTGAATAAAAAATGCTTTATTATTAGCATCTTCCTTTCCTTTCTTAATTTTTCAATTCCTGAACAAAGCAAACTTTAGAAGATTTGTATCGAAGACTTTCCTCTAAATTAATACGCAATATATCAACTTTATAATTGCACTTATAACTTGAAAACTATTGAAATTGTGATATTTTTATCATTATATCAAGATTTTCGATTTCAATTATATATTCTTTAGAATGTATTTTTTTATCATTATATTATTGTAGTGCATTCTGTATGTCAACAGTAACAATGGAAAACGTCGGACTTATTCATATATAGACGAAATTATTTTACGATGATTTTTAATCTGACCGGAGAAATGTAACTCGTTTGATAAATGCGATTAATTAAAACAGAAAAATTATTCTTCTCCAGGGGAGAATGTCTGTATCACGGATACGGTCGGATTTCTAACGAACGGAGTTACTTTTCATGGTCAGACATTGTATTTCATGCAACCTGCTCAAGACCGGGTCTCTTAACGTTGAAAAGTGGCCGTCTCTCGACGTGCTCCGGTACCAGCGCGCATCCGCAAATAGGAAAATCTTGCCAGTGATGAAGCACACTGAGAGCCATGCATTCTTCTCTGTCTGTCGGCGCACATTGATTATTTAGTGTAAGTTTCTTAATGTTAGTTTCTTATTTCTCTCTTTTTGTGTGTAATACAAATTTGCAAAAAAGAATTTTGTTCATTTTTGGATCTCTCGAGATTAATAATTAATATTGATAGAGAAATAATAAACTAATGAATCTAATATTAGCTGAAAAAAGACTGTCAGAGGGGAATCAGCAAATTACGTAAGAATACAATAAAATACATCGAAATTCAAATATGTTCAATGTAAATATATATTTATCGCTTATCAGTCTTTCTCTCCGGGATAAACTCCAAAGATATGATCATGACATATTGATCTGAGTTTCTCTATTATAACTCACTTCCAGAGATTTAGTTGGGTCAGTAACAATTGTTAGGTATGTTAGATGGTATCAAAGTAGTCTACCGAGCCCGAGAAATGATTAGTTAAATCATCGATGATGAATGATAAACATCAATGAATGATAAATACTGTCTGATATTTTTCATACAGCACAAAAAAAAGTTTGCGGCAACATTAGCTGTAACTAATAAATGTGCAGTTTAGGTTACTTTACCAAGTAAAATGTGATTTTGAAAAATTCATTTCAGGAGACGCGGTATTGTCTCCGGCCATGTTAAAAAATCAGGGATACTACAAGTCTCTTATCCCGCACCACCAAAGTCCATTTTTTTGGGGTACAGAACTACTAAAATATAAAAAACTTTGAATTATTAGTTTTTAGATACATTGTAGGAAAAAGTGTTCCAAAAATTTCCTAAAATTTAGTAGAGGACAGCACTGCTTTAGAAGATATAACAAATTAAAGTTTCACAGTAAGACTTGTGTAAGTATACTTTCCACGTAAAACAAGGTTCCATGAGTTTACAACTTTCCACACAAAGCGAGGTCATTCCATATTCCTTCTGCTTACGAGGCGAAGCGAGGTCTATAATTATACTGTTTCGCACGAGTTTTCAAACGTACAAACTTCACTGTTCGTGATATGTCCTAAACTAATGTCGTCCCCCACTTATTATGAAACTTTGCCGTATTCCATTTAATATTTGTGAGGAATTGTCAGAACACTGTCCTCTACAACGTATTTAAAGATCAATAACATCGGTGAGATGTAACCTAAACTGCACATTTATGTTATTCATTCGTAATTGTGATTCAACTGAAAAACTCAAAGTTTGTCTTGAGAAATTGAACTATACTTTTTACTATTCTATGAGAGAATGGTATGTCTACATATTTTATACTTTTTAATATTATATAATAATCACTTGAGCATTAAATCGGGTAGAATTCTATATTTCTTAGACATCTTTTAAAGATAATTTGAAAACAAATTATGTGTTGAAATAGTTTCAATTATTCACGAAACACAATTATTCACAAAAGCTTGATTTCAAATTCAGAAAGCAATTGTTAAAACATTGCAACTAGAAATATATTGTTATATTGTATTATTGTATAAATAATGGACAATAATTTCTTATATTACATATTAATTATTAATATGGCAAACATATGTGATTAATATATAAAATTAATTATCGTACATTGTGTCAGTAATTTAAAACTCAACATTATTTGAAAAAAATTAAAATTATTTACAATTTGATAGGAAAAATATTTTAAAATATAAATTTATTTACTTTTCAGGCCGTTTTACTTTATAATTAAATTATATTTTAATTAATTATTCTTTATCAAATTTGTAATATATTACAATAAGCTCTAATGAATAACAATATGTTTTTTCATTTTAATTATATTTTTAAAGTTTAAAAAACAATAAAATTATTTTTATAAGCAATTTTTAATAAATTATTGAAGAATAAAAAAACGTTTCTTGCCACAATTTAATCTGATTTTCAAAATCACATTTTACTTTTATCAAGCAAAACTACAGAAGAAAATATTAATAATAAATTGATCAAAGAAGTTTTCGATTAGTTGGTAGCAAATTCTAATCTTCAAATAAAATTTTTTAGATAAAATGTTAGATTCAAACGATGATAGTTTGTTCACCGGGATTAATTGTAATAAAATTCAAGAAGCATAATCTTTGTTGTCTATATATATATATTTACTTCCTTCCGCTATACATCGATACAGGGTGACTAAAAAGACCATTGAGACTTTCCATAAAAAATTTTCAATTTAACTTCGAGAGATTCTCTATACTTTAAGAACAAACTGATATTATTGTTGATGCATTTGTTAAAATCTTACAATTTTTGTATAAAACATTTTCTCAATTGTCTCGTTTTTGAGATATTTAAGTACCTACTTTTTAATCACCCTGTATAACATTAAATATTAATAACAAATCGGCTGGCATGTGGCCTTGATGTTTGTTTTTACGGTGTACAACGTGCTGTTTACAAGTTTACACAAACCTCGCCGTGTTATATTATGCGCATGGCAAGTGTCAAGCGAACAGACACCTCACTTCATAAAATGCTATCACTTCTTCCAAACCATTAGCTATTCATTAGCGATTCTCGATCAACTGAGTCTTATGATTAACGATGTGCAAGCATGTCGAATCACTTATTTTTAAGTATTCGATGTATTCATGTCTTGTAAAGAGGCGATAGATATACAGTGAGAGCAAAAAGTATTCGTACAAGGAAATTTGTTATAAAAAAAGTCTTATTTGTAGAAAAAAATATTAATTAGCAATTTTATACACAATGAATATACTCTGTTATAACATAAACAAACGAGCTTCGCATGCATGCCTGATTTTAGAAGCTTTCTCGTTTGTATGAATACTTTTTGATCATTCAAACAATACAATTTTTAATTTTCGCTCATTTTTTAGATATATTTTGTATAATTAATACACATCTTTTTGGTATACATAATTTTAAGAAACATACAGTCTATTTTATTCTTTATGAATAAATTATTAATTATCCAACAATAAATAATCGTCGATTAAACGTCGAATCGATGTTGAAATTGGTGTTGAAATCATCGTATTTATATCGATTCGACATCAATTCGATGACTCATTTCTTGCTAGATAATATTTACTTTTTAAAAATAAAGTTTTTTTAAAAAATATTTTCTCCATACGAATACTTTTTGCACTCACTGTAAGTATTATAATAAATTCCCGTGTCCCTCGATATTCGCAGATAATAACTGTTTTGTAAAGATACATGAATGCAGATACATTTCACTCGTAATTTAAATTTGTCGATGTCATTTAAATACAATTTTTTATTTCTCGAGTTGAACAATTTAAACAAAACAAAACCGTGCATAATTATGCCGCGTATGGATCATTTATTAATAATTGGTTTGAAATATAATAAATACGATTCAGCGTGCATTTATTTTGTTAAATTTAAATTTCTGATTTATTAAATATTTTCCGGTGATAAAATACACGATGCCACAGTGCTTGTTATACGTACAAATACGATTATTATCATTTACAGTACAAGCCTCTCGAGTTATTATCGTATTAATATCGGAAATGCCGTGCGATTTTTGCATATTAATTTTACACGCAATGCTATTAATCATAATCATGATTTTTATCTTTGTAGACTTTGTTATCAAATATTTATTTTTATACAGTAAAACAAAATTTAAAGACTAGCCTCGATAAAATTTGACAATATCCAATTTCACAAATCTTTTTTGTAACGACCACACGCATGGTCTAAAAATGCATTTTCTAATAACAAAATAGTTTCACTTTAAAAATAAAAAGTTCCTAATAGAATCAGCCACATGAGCTTATTAGTTTAGCAGAAACCCCATTATTCCATATTAGGAGCCCATAACAGTCGACTTTACCCTATTATTTGTGAAGTTTATTTTTATTTAAAATCAAGGATAGTTTAAAAAAAAAATTTATTGATTTATTGATTTGAGAAAGATTATATAAGACTTACTATTTAGGTTCTCTATACAAGAGAAAGCAAATCAGAAATTTGCAACATTTTTCTTCCCAATCGACACAAACTAACGATATAGCATGACAATTTATTATAATTTCACACTCCACAATGTAACTGTTATGTGTGTAAGTGTGTTACATTTATATTGTTAAGAAATTATAACATTGATGTTATGTTACTTTTAGTTTGTATTGACTGGGTTTCGAATATTCATTCTGAATATCTCATCTATTAAGGTTTTGAGATAAGATTTAAGTAATGGTTATTATAGGTAAATACGATCCTCCATCTTCTATTTGAATTGTAAATTACAAATGAATAGTGTTTGAGTTATATCAGGATATGAACTCTCTCTACCGCAATATCACTTAGTAGTCACAATAATAATTCTCAACCGACAGAGATATTACTTACCGACTTCGCCTTCGCGTTCAATCACGGCGTGAAAGGGAAATGATTGCTTGCCAATCTTAATCTCGTGTTCTCCGTATTCCGGTGGCGGTAGATTGTTCTTCCTACAGAGGAGCTCCAGAATCTGTGCAGGTTTCTCTCGATCTCTCCAGGTGTTGTAACCAGCGGTGCTGTAAACATTTGCGATTCCACAGTGCGCCCGATGCCGACTGTAAAATCGATTTTCGATATCAATCCGCGTCACGCCGATTAAATCATCAGCCGTCGTAGCATCGAAATCCCACACTTGAACCTCCAACATATAATCCTGTGGGAAGCTTGCCTCCATCTCGAACACGCTATTAAATAGTAATAACTTGAGGATAATCGTGTTAATAAATCTTTTTTATGCTTACTCGAGAGAAATTGACTATGAAGACTACACAAAAATATCACTCTACTGCTTAGAAAGGTGATGTCTTAATTTATTTTTTTCTTTTAAAAACAGTTATCTTTACAAATAACATTTTTTTAAAATATACCTGTAACAAATTTTAGAAGAACTCATTAATACTCATTATACTAAAAATAAGTTGAAGAATATTATAAAATTTCATCAAAGAGACAATTGTATAATAAGCAAGTTGAATTTAATAATTTTAACTCCAGTATTAAAGTATACTTACTAAGATTCAGAACATACTTTGAGTAAATTTGATTCTCGTGAACTTATGATAGATTTGTAGATATATGAATTTTTAAAACACTTAATATGAATAATTAATATTTAAATACAGCTCAGTACATGTATTTTTCAATATATATGAGTATGATTAAAAAAAATATGTTCTCATTCGTTTTAAACGCATTTTTTATAACAGATATATTAATAGATATATATAATTGAATATCAATTATTCAAAATAAGTGACATAGCATTAAAAAATTAAATTTTATACCATCCATTTTTCTCTCATTATAGAATCTAAAACTGTTTATTTTTTAAATATGAAATATTTAGAAAAGAAAAATATGATGGTTAACAAAATAATTTTAACTTTAGTTATATTTATATCATACTGTTACACATGCAAAATAAAATAACTAAAAACTAGTCGATGGTGCAGTTTAAAAATAATTGTTTCAATTTTTTTATTTAATCAAAATCAATCACCAGAAGTAATGCCTTTAGAAAAATAAACTGATAAAATATTTTTAGAATATTCTACTAAATGATAAATTATTAATTATTTGGTGAAAGTAAAGAATCTAAGAGGTAGAGAGAGAGAGAGAATATATTTTTTAAATATTGCACCTTTAAAAAAACAAAAACATCAATTATCAAAATAATCTTAATTCCTGTTACATCCATGTTACGTTGTTATGTGAAGTAGCTGGAAAACCTGATCGTGCAGTTTGAAAGCTGCAAAAAGCCGATACACACGGATGCACAGATGGATATCGATAAAATATTTCCCGATAACGCCCGAAGGGCACAGCTATACTGCGATATGCTTGGGAAGAAGCTGCGGCAGCTTTTTGTTGACCTTACCGGCCAAATGTAGGGTTCAATTGATTGGGTATATAATTCTTCCTGTCGCTGATAGAATTTTTTCCCAGCTTCACGCAGAGATATGGATCGGACTTGCCGCTGAGGGGATCCTTAGGCTGTAAGTTAATGCCTGCGCGAAAAGCAAATTTGCTGTCAGCTCGATGTCGCAGACGGGCTTTCTATAAGTTTACCGAAGAGTATAAGGTGTACCGGAAAATTTCCCATAAAAGGGATCTCTAAACCATCCTTTAGTTCTTTTAATAGAAGAAATAAAGAAAGAAAAAGAGAGAAATGTGTACTAAGAGAACGTCTCATAATATCCCATTACAAGCGTTTGCTCTTATCTATAATTACTTTGACTGGTTTGAATTAATTTTTAATAGATAAAATTAAATAAAAGTGGTTTTGCAATTAGGAACAAATATTTCGATAATATACCGCTGTAAAAGAAGTAAATTTACTTTTCTTGAACAATCTGTAAGTTAATGTCAAAGCAAACAAGTGGAACATTTTTTAAATTGGTAATTTTTTTGGCGGACGTGATATTACGTAGAGACTAACCCTTTACAACGTAGAGTCTAACGAGAAGCTTAACAGGCTCTTGAGGCGGATAATCGTTGCACAGGCCATTAGCTGCGTCTCTCCCGCTCCTCGTTTTGCATGGAAGATTATCAGGATGCGGCCATCGGTATATAGAAATATGTCCCTGGAGAAAGTCACAACTTACGGTATTTGACGTAAATAAATTGAGTGCTTGAGACATTTAATAAATTTTGTTCATTTGATTCAAATTGATATTTATCCTGCTTAATTATAACGTTAATTTGTATCAAAGAAGATTAGATAAATTCTTTTCATATTAAGAAGTTTCCGTCCAAAACTTAATTAGCTCGCAAGTTAATTATTTTCTCCTCTCCAGTATCTCGTTGAATAAGATGAAGAGAAAAGAAAAGGAATGAAGGTTAGAACACTGCCCAGTGACTGCTTTAGCAGACTATTCTTTCTTGTTTTTTATCTGTCTCGCTCAACGAAACGATGAAAAAGTAGCGGTTAGGTTTTAGATACGTTCGTTTTAAAGTTAATTTTTTATTTAGAGTAAATTAACCTTAAATTTGCCTGCGTAATTATCTCCGGCATACTCGGGATTTTCACCCTTCCTTCCACGCCATAATTCAAATGTGCGGAGTCGGTCTTGAAACCCTTCAAACTGCGGCTGCGTCTCCAACTCCGTGGAATAGATCTGATTTCAGTGTCTAAGCACTCTAGTTTGGGCAAGTGCATTAAATAATACCTTGAACGTCACCACGGGTTTACGACGATACGCTGTCGTGATTCCCAATTCTCTATTTCTCTCTTCCTGCGAATCCAACGTCAATAATTTGCATTATCAAACGTCCCAGCTGATTGATCCCAATCAAGACTCGTGTTCTACGTGATTTCAATCAAAATCGATTCATTTATCAGCAACGCGATTTACGATGATCGGGAAATAAAGCTGAATCAGGGAAAATTTCAGAAAGCTTAAAGATTCATGCAGAGGAAACTATCAAGATTTACGACGCAGAGGAAGCTATAAAATTTACAAAGTCGTAAATCCTATAATTTAATTTTTTTGCAGTTTATAAAAAATGTGAACTGAAAAAAAAAGTAAGATAAAAATATCTAAAATCGTTAAACTGCTAAGCAAATAAGCTAGTAAATTATAAAATGTTTAAGCATATAAGTATTTAGGCTAAGTAATTAAGCTACTATAACAATAAGCTCCTTAACCGTTAGGTACACAAACAATTGAATTTCTAAATACATAAGCAGCTAAGTATTTAAGCAGTTTAATGTCTACGCGGTTATCGCAGTTAGATTTACATGATTTAATTTAGTACCAGAAATTATAGAGATAAAAAAAGATGAAAATTTATAAGGAGCAGGGTTTAGGTGCTGATTAATGTTTATAATAATAATTGTCAATCATATAAAAATAACAAATATTTTAACTTGTGTGAAAATTAGATTATTTTTAAATTATCATTAAAACATCTCAACATTAAATTCCAAAATTAAAATTGTGTTAGAATAATTAATCAATCTATTATAAGTCATAATTAAAAAAAATATAAATACATGTTTGATTAAAATAATTGAATTAAAATAATTAAGTTGAAGAGAGCTTTAAAGTTTCAATAATTTTATTATGTTTTCATGAATTTTTCATGCAAAGTAATAAAAAATAATTTTAGCATTAGTTATACTATTTTCATTTAAAACTGTTATGTGAACCTGAAGGGAGGCAAAATATTTACTCCACCAATCGAGAGTTTCATCATCGCTATCTTTGTAAATTTCCACTTTTTTTCTCTTGGTAAAGATCTTGAATTTTAATATCCCCTTCATGATTACGAGCAGCCTCCTCAGCTTAGAATGGATGTCCGTTGCAGCCATTCTCTTATACGCAATGAGACCTTTGCTCTCCTCCTTCGATGGATTATAATCGATCGGCAAAGGTACTGTATCAAACATAAAACAAAAATAATATTATATAAAAAACCTATAGTTATTTTTATGAAACAATATAAAAATTTATAATAATACGAATAACAATAGAAAGAAATAATAATTCCAATTTATAAATTTCCTTAAATATATTTTTTTCTTCACAATATGCAGTTAGCTTTATTGTATCTTATTGAAAATATATATTCTACTTTATATTAAATGTATTATATTTTATATATATATATATTCAAAATGTAATGCATTTAATACAGTTTCATAATAAATAATTTTTAATGCATTTTTATAATAAAAACTAAATTTATTATTTTAAACGTATTAAATAATATTTATTATAAAAGTGTATTAAATGTGTTATACATGTAATACATTTTTAATAAAATATAATAAAGTATATATGTATCTAATTTTTATTATAAAAACGTATTAAATAACGTTTATTATTTAATACATTTTTATAATAAACACTAATATCATTTAAATAACAATAATACTGAAAGCGCACTAACACACTATTGCCGTCTGCCGTTTTGCCAACTGGAATTTCTGCATGAATTTCGACTCGTATATCTGCACATCATAATCTTCCTCGGTTATTAATTGCTCCAGGAAGACACGGATGTTAGGGATAATACAGATCCCAGCATATTTGAAGCAGCCAAATCCGCGCGAATCGTAAGCCTTTATAGTGATGCTCGGATAGTAAATGTCGAGCTCCGGCATTTCCTTGATGATTAATGTGTTTTAAAGCGGTTCCATTTTCTTGCTATTAATAGTGTATATCGCGTTGATTTATTTTAATTGTAGTCTGATTTCTGACCGTTAAGACAATTAACACTGGAAGACTTCAACAATCAAAATAAAACGTTAATCAAATTATTATCGAAATACGGTTTCCAGATTTTCCAAAAAAGCTGACCCTGTTTTTTTTTTAAATAAAAGTTATCCATTTCTCTTAAATTGCGCGTGTACATGTATTTAGTTTAAACGTCTCACACATGTGTTACACACAAAGTTTGCTAATTATTCTCGGAATAGTTTCAAGATTACCAGTTCAATCACAATGTGCGGTTCCTCAAAGTTGCTGTATTTCCTAGCGTTCTTCATCACCTCCGATTTGATGTGCACTCCGACGCATTCCACTATAATTCTCGGCCTACGTACCGGTATATATTTTATCTTTCTCATATCGCGAACACCCCAAAAGATTACCTCCAGTCTGTAGCTCGTCATTTTCGGTCTGATATCCGGTATATTGTATATATATTATTTTTCAATTTTGAAGAAGGGTCATCATAAAACTCAATGTATTATCCAAGATACGTACATATACGGGGTAAATCCTGTATTTTCACCCTGTTTTTTTATAATCGACTGATTTGTGCGAAATATATCGAAACATGTCCATTTTGTTTTTAAAGGAAATATGCAGCTTTAGTCAAAAATATAAAGTTTATAAATTGACATAAACTTTCTACATCTAACAAAAGATAAATTAAAAAATAATTTTATTGAAAAATAATATTTTATTTTTATAAGTTTTAACATTCCTTTGGATTTTATGATCGCTTTTTTTTAAGAAAATTCAGCAAACTAAGAGTGCTTTAATACTTTTCAGGCTTCTACGAGTATTTTCTGTAAAGAATCTAAGCGGTTTTTTTGTGATTTGCGGTTTGCAGTTAAGGTGCTTCCCGCACTGATGAAGTGAACTGTTCACGAAACGTTGGCAGTTAACGATGAATCAAGACACGGAGATAACACAACGCCACAAACAGCGTAACATCTTTGAAAAGTGCTTTATATCTATGGTTAATATACTGCTTTATTCCCTTAATTAGGATAACTACCACTTCAAAAATGTTAAATAGCAATAAGAATCAAAAGGGATATATTGTTTTAAAAATATTTTAACTTTCTTTAAAATTTAGCTTAATTCTCTTGATACAACACATGCTTTTAAAAAAAAAATCGCATTTGAAAGTTTTAGATATGTAAAACTGAAAATTTGCAAAGTTACAAAAAAATTTACCTATGTACATATTCAAGCTGTTTTCCATCAGCCTTCATAGAATAATAAAGCTTCTTATCCGAGTTACAGATATTTTGAAACATTTCCGGCGTTATTCTACAGCACTTATCCACTTATCCAGCATTAGCTTATGATGTAATCGGACGTAAATCGGATCGCGTGAAACTCGTGGCATAAATTTTAATTTTCAAGTATCTCCAAAGAAAAAAATTTTAAGAAAAAAATTCTCTAATATGGTTCGTTTATACATTTAGGTCCAGTGAGGAACCAAAGGAAGAGAAAATTCAATCATATTAAAAAATTTTACAACAGTTGCAAAGCTGCTTAATCTGTTAAACGCGAATGTTATAAGCCAAATTATTTTCTTTTTTATTTCTTTGTAGTTGGTTTTAGGTTGTAGCCAAACATTTTAATTGATATTAGCTTCTCTGGTTGATTTTTAGGTTGATACTTTTACCTGATAAAATATTTTTAAAATCTTTGAGTAATTATCTTAATAAAGAGTATCTAGTGTACTTGGTTTAGGAGCCATAAATTCTCCGATCTTAGATTGATTTATTTATACAAAGAATCTACATCGGATCGATATGCATTGTTTGACAAGGAGTATCATAATGGCACAGGATATCATAAAGAAGATAAGCGGATCACCTAGAAGTCTATACAATATATTGAGGACAGTAGCCAACAATTGAATTGTTCTTTGAATATGAAAATATAGGTTATTACACTGTATGTATTTGTATTTAAATTTAAATTGTTCACTGAAAAGAACCTTATTGAAAGTTGAAACGTTTGACATAATAGACTCGAATAGCTCCGAATTTATATGTAATTTGAATTATATTCAACTGAGCCAGTAAATATATGAATTCAATATCTGAATAAAGAGACTACCGCAACACAAGGGTTGAATTTATTACAATTGTACATTTCTCTTGAAAAACGAAATTGATGTGTTTTTGGAATATTTCGTACAAATTAGTCAATTACTAATTAGTAAAAAAAGAAATGGGAAGTTATTAGCCACCCTACATTATACTCATTTTGTATCGAGTTTTACAGTATCTTTCCGAAAAACAGACGTATTGATCATTAAATAAAATGTATTATATAACAATAGAGAGGTGACACTGTTGAAATATCGTGTTAATATTTGTCCTGAGAAGAAAAATCGATAACTCACTTCTATCAACTCGAAAGCGGCGAGAACTGACCCGGTGCAATCTTTCTGCGGTTGGAATTTGTTCCACTCTAATTTCGGTGGAAAATCGGGCGGTGAGTAAGTTTCCGTGGTGAGTTTCACTAATGGCACCGCGATACACTTGCCACAGAATTCTCTCGTGCTCTGTATTTTTTCCGTATACAAAAAATACGTAAGTTTGATTGAATAACTTTAAAAAAACTTTTTTTTACTTTCATTTTTACTTCAAAACATCATAAATAATTATATCTATATATAAACAACAATATTTTTAATATTTTTATTTTGTATTTGTATTCTTTTTTTGGATGAACTACTTTATCTTATTTTTACATATTTCCTTTTTCGTTTTGTGGAAATACTATCAAGAAATTTGACAGGTTTATTGCTTTGCTTACGCATAAATCATGCTGAAAAACCTGCAAGACGACTTCGGGTGGCAGAAATTTAGTATATTCCTTACTACCATGCAAAATAATTGGAGGAAAAATTAATGTCTGGTCCCAAAATGGATCTAAACTTTGTCTTATCACCTGGAAAAATTATAAAAGTATACAAAAGATGTAAGTATAAAATTAAATTAAATTTAAGTTAGTTTTAAGTTTTTTACTAAATAAATGCAAACATTTTTCTTGAAAATATTTTTTATTATTTAAAACAGTTTTGATCTAATTATATATGATTCTTTACCAAATGTCATACAATCACTGTATAATATTTTGATAACATACATTATCGTATTTTAGGGATTAACTAGAAATGTTAACATCTACAATGTAATAAAAATCTTAATGTAAAAATATAAAAGGTCAACATAAACATAATTGAATAAATAATTTAATTGCAACTTTCAATATAGTTTTATAAAATAAACTATATAAAAAATAAACGATAAAAAGCTTTAAAAGAGCACAATAATAAAGAATTGTTAACTAGAATCGATAAAGAATTTTTACAAGTTGGCTTTTTTTGAAAATTTTAATTTAAAATTAAAACTAAAAATTAATTTTATTTAATAAGAAAAGTTTTTGAAACTTAATATATCTAATTGTAATCATAATTTAGTAAAAGTGAAGCAACTTGTATTTAAAAAGTAATTCAATTAAAAAAAATAATTCTATTTTTGGTTAAATGTTAATTCAATATTTCTCGGTGTGAAATCATGTACATATCCAATTCAAAAAATCGTGTGCCAAAATCTTGTTTAATCTTGAAACGCAATCATTAGTAGTAGCAATTTAATAGACAATATTGATGCTAATAAGCATCTTAAAAATGAGGAATAATTTAAAATAATGTAAAAAAAAAGGTTTCTTCTTTGATAATTATCATCAGTTACTTGTGCCAGAATAAATATTGAACTATATTTTTAAACAGCCTATTGTAACTTAATTAATCATCAATTAGATCTTATCAATCACATAATATCAGGGTAACGATGATAAATGATGTCAATTTGAAACTTGTCAGTTATACATTACCTCGTTAATATGGAACGAATCGGTTTCAAATCGAGTGGTATTACAACGCTTTTAAATAGCAAATACAGTCGCAACAAACCGTAAATTTTAATATTTGTCACTCTCATATAGCGAACGAACGGAACGAAACGTTGCGCGTGCAACATTAATCACGCTCGTATTACATCGGTCGTTACTCTCGCGCGTTTCAAGTGAAATGTCATAGGAATACACACCGCAGAAATTTCACGGCATCCTGACCGTGTATGCATACACGGCATGATCACCACGGTGACATAGAACGCCACGATATCCGGCGGACGAGTTATATCTCGAAATTTCATATTTTAAAGATTCAAAAACTGGGAAAGTGAAATTTGCACGTTCCGTTAAAATGTTAAACGTAACTCACCCTCGTGGAAGCCGTGTATCCTTGAAACGCGACTCGTATATATGAATCCAACAAGCCGGAAGCGTCCATTCCGGGATCAAAGCGACCTTGGAATATGTGAGCTCTCAACTGAAACGTCTGTAATAACGATCACAATGTATCTTTTTCAGGTACTGCAGTATTACGGTATATCATTTTTACACGCGTTTCAATTTACAATTCAAATTAGAAGTAACGAGCGGTCATCATTGATCGTTTTTATTTTTTAGATTTATATCACATGTTTTTGTGTAAAAAGTATGATGATAAAATTCTTTATTTTTCAATAATTATGTCTTCCATTAATGTTTGATTTTTTTATTATTTTTTTGTTTTTATAATAATTTATTCGCTTCATTTTCTTTTAATAAGTGAGAAACGTTGGTATTTCTTATAGCGTTAAGAATTGAATATATGTGTCATATCTCAGAGCATTAGCAATAATATAAAAATGTTATAGATTTTTCTATTACGTCTGAGTATTATACAAAATTTAAAGACAGTTCTCTCTTATTGGTTAAAATTTATTTAATTTCTTTATTTGTCTTAATTCTTATGTAAAATCGCATTTTGTAATTTGTACTTATTTGCAAATTGGATAAAGCTGTAGCATCATGAATTATATTCAATTCTTTTATATACTAACAAAACTAATAAATCGTGCAAAGTTTATTTGAATCCACTTACATTTATTACTTAAAAATTATTTACCTAAAATTATAGCAAAATGTAGTTATTTCGCTGAGAATTAAAAGCCGAATTTATGATAAAAATTTTTTGTCGATGTTGGCTCTTTTCACTGATACTTTGGCTGATATTTTTAACTGATATAGGTAAAAACATCCTTAATGTCTGTCGAGGCGCGTCAATCTGATTTCTCTCGAAATCAAACGTCACGCTCGCGATCAATTTGTGCATTTCGTGCATCGTAATGCCCTGTCGCTATCTTTTCACTCGTCTCTTACCGAGAACTGATTGTACTCGATGTACTTCGGGAACGTGTCGACATTTCTGCCGTGATCGATCTCGTATCCCGGCGGAATTGCGCTCCAACATGCGGCGGCGTACCTCGCGTTGCCGAGCCACAAAAATGCCTCGATTTTGCAGGCGCTATATTCGACAGGCTCGCTTTCGTCGTCCGGATTCCTGGGGAACAGATTGATTCGCCGACCGCATTTCCCGCCCATTTCGGTCACTTCTTCGGAGTAGACGATCTGCTCGGCCGACAGACGCGAGTAAGCGACTCGCTTCGAGCCAGCGATCATCCAGACGAAAACATCCGGAAGACTGTGTTGGGGCTGATTGAACGACATATCAAATGATCCATCATGTAAGATCGAAATCGTAAAATATCTAGAAGAAATCTTTAACATATCGATTTGCCATGATAGTTATCCATTATCAGCATATGATTTTTCAATAGCACTTTAATCGTCATTAACGACAATTGCTATCAAAATTTTTTTTAATGCATGTAACAAATAAATCTTATTAAATATGAAATTTTGAGCAAATAGCTAAACAATAATATACAGAGAAAAACACCGTAATAGTAACAATATAGGTGATAACTATACAAGCTTTTGTATAGAATTAATATATATACATATATATATATTTCTTCCAATCATTATTGCAAATGAATTATAAATGTAACATAAATATTAAATTAATATTAAATAAATGTTAAATAAATTTCTTTTTAGATCATTATTACAAATAAATTAGTAATGTGACATAAATATTATTAAATAAACATCATATAAATGTTTAATAAATATTTTCTTTATTTGAAATATTTATTATTTGAAATGAATAATATATAATAAATATTTAATAAACATTTAATAATTATTAATGTTACAATAAAATATACAATATTTAATTAATGAAAAAATATTGTCTGCCGATTGTGTAGTAACCTCTATGAAGTTTAGAGCATCATAAGGTTAATCAGAGTTTGATTGTCAATTTAGGAAATTTAATAATATATAATAAATATTTAATAAACATTTAATAATTATTAATGTTACAACAAAATATACAATATTTAATTAATGAAAAAATATTGTCTGCCGATTGTGTAGTAATCTCTATGAAGTTTAGAGCATCATAAGGTTAATCAGAGTTTGATTGTCAATTTAGGAAATCAGTATTTATCACCGAAAGCTTTAAATAAAGCGAAATTGAAAACTTGATATTATTAAACACTCTCAAATCGAGCTTTATGTTAATCAAATTATCTTTTTTTTAATTCTATCCACCATACTAATTGTAAGTGTACTGTTCTGAATTTTTTATTTTTGACACTCAGAGACACGAATAAATCATTATTAAATTACTCCATAGGTCAAGCTTCAAAGAAACTAAGCAAACAATTTATTAAAAAAAAAGAGGGGGAAAGATCACAAATCTGGTCCAGAAAAGGTTAAGAAATAAGATTTGCGTCATTTCTTTTTTAACTTTACATTTTTTTGATAGAAGCTACGTTGTTAACTTACATCATCGCACAGAGTCCTCAATTTTTTTAAATAATGATACGCATGAATCATCGCAATCCTCATGTAATTGTTATTAGGAAGTTCACCGTTGATCTTAATCCTCGTAAGTATATCTTCGACATTTTTACGGAACAAACTTGCACGATGGCGATCGAGTTTAGTGGTTCCTTCTTTGGATTCATACCTGCCAGTGTCCAACGCGTCTAAATATCGCACACAGTGAGCTTTTAATGTGCGAATCGTTTCATTGTAAGCTTCGAAAGCTATAGGGTTCTCAACAGCCATAAGAGTCTCCAGTTTATCTAATCTTGTCTCCTAAAATCAGATTAAAATGATTTATAATTTTTCTAATTCGCACAAACTGTACTTGACGTTAAATAATTCCAATACGTTAAGATGTTTGAAAATTTACTTAAAATCATATTGATTTTAACTAATATTTAACAATAAGTGATAACAATAATAACTAGTAACTTCTCTCTCAAAATAAAACAAATTTAAAATTAATATATATTTAAAATTATATATATATATATATTAAAAAATTCTTTAATTGTAATTATTTTAATTGCAAAAATTATTAAAATTAATTTTATTTACATGTCATCGAAGATGCGCAAAGTTTTAATTGAATAAACTTAGAATTTTATTTTGAAATTACATTTAAAAAGTTACAATATATTTATTTTATTAAAAATTTAATTTTACTTTAAAATAAACTATTAGGATTATTAGAAAGGATATTAATTTTATTAAAATTAACTGTAATAAAATTAATAAAATTAAAATTAATTTATTAAAAAAGTTTTATGAAATTTGAGTTTATTGAAATAAATTTTAATAAAATAATTATGATTTTATTAATTGTATTGAAATTAATATTTAAAAAATTAATACGCTATAATTCTAACAGTGTAGTTTAGTTTTAAAGTGAAATTTAATAACGTAAATACAGTAATTTTTATAATCTGATTTCGAAATAGTATTTCAAATCTATTCCAATTAAAAATTTTGGCATTTTTAATGACATCTAATTATATATACCAAAAAATTAGAAATATAGCGAAGATTATTGTTGTTGTTCATCCTCCATTCCAAATTTGGCCACCAAGATCTCACATATAAACAAGGCTTTCTGGATCCCAAAGGCACATAATTATATTTGCCGTCCAAAGTGCCGGTCGTTCGTGGGGCTGATTGACTCTCGAAGTTCAATCGCTTTTTCAGCAACTCGATTTCTGCCGAAGGCAAAAATAAACGAGGAAAAGAATATTTTTATCGCACTTCTCAATCCTAAATGTGACTTTCTGCTTCCCATCTCGCATTGACGTTAAAAGCATAATTCACATGAGACAAATACAGAGTGACTGTAACCAACAGCGACAAATTCGTAGAGATACCGTTGCAGATAGAGGAAAAGTAGTAAGTTGCGCAACATAAATTTTATCCCTTAAAACAGTCGTCTCCTCCACCAGACCCGAAAATTTGTCTCTCTTATCGGGAACCATCCTGTAGAAATCGCAATCGATGGCGACTGCATTGCTGGAGTTGCGGTAGGTGAAAGAAAAATACTAGGTATTTGAAACAAATTGTCTCCCTAAATTCTCATTTCCGTTTCCATTTACAGTCACATTTAGTGTTAAAACGTTTTTCAGACAGACGCGATAATATGATGGACAAGGATAAAAGTTTATAGAGCACCTGATTGGTTGTCATTATTTTCGATGCATTGACTATGCGAGAATTGCTGATTTCCCGCGTTTCCCAGACTCAATTCAAAGCTGATTAATTTCGATCCAAATCTAGAACGGTCGATCAAACACACGTCGTATAGTACTCCGACCAAAAGATATTCCTCAGTCGACCATAAGCTTTTCTACATTTTTTGAATATAAGTTTTCATAATTCTTTTATTACAAATCATTCTAAGAAATTATTTTATTTTATTTCAGTGTTTGTAATTTTTTAAATTCTGTATAAATCTTTACATTTTATTCAATCGAAGCATAAATTTTTTCTTTTCAATTAAAAAGAAATGATTTATTAGCATCTAGTAGAGTAAATTAGATTTCAAAGATATTTTAGGCATTGTTTTATTATATTTGTTAACCCTCAGTATCCCCCCACATCTCAAAAAATCTACCCACAACCGAGTATTTGTAATCAACGTTTTCTTTTGCTTGTATTGTGGTGCATCGATTTTAACTAATTTTTTTTTAATCTATCGTTTGAAGACTGAAAAAAAAAGAATTTTTGAGTTAGAAAGTCTAAAATGTCGTAGCACAAAAGATATTTTGCAATAAGTGAAAAGGGATCGGAAAAAAACGTCTAAACTATGAAAATCAAGGAGGTTACGGTAACTCTTTGTGAATACTGAGGGTTAAAAGTATAGCAAAATTAATTAATTTCATGTTAGAAACTTTTGTAGGATTATAAAGGTTATTGCTGCGGAAAACCAGTTTTTTATAAGGAAAATATATTAAATTTTAACTATAAATAAAATAAATTGTCGCAAAAGTGAATAACAACAAATCTAATCACTTCAATAATGGGAGATGCTGGAATGGTTTCAACTCCGATTCCTGGGGATGCTTCTAGGTCATCCATTTCAGTTTTCAGCGACAGAAGCACCCTTCCGCGATACAAAGGCATTGCCGTCAAGCATTTGCCCGAGCAGCCGTTCTTTTCCACGGAGCCGGATCCGTAAAAGTGGATGAAAGACGGCCCGTAAGTCGGCAGGAATCCTGTTGGCAGGACAAATGCTACCTTTTGCAATTTTTCACGTCGCACTCTTTCTTTATTACTTTCTAACATTTACTTGAACTTTGTACATATTAGTGAGCGTGCGTTTAAATGACAATAATAAGGATTGATCTCGAACTTTATACTTGGAAATTTATTTGTGTAAATATTTATTTTTTTTATCAGACTTTATCGTAATATAAAAATATTTAAAATATATGAGTCTATATCGTAAACAATTTATCGTATTTGGAGTAAAGATATCAGAGTGGGAGATAAAGACACAATGCAAGAAAAAAGTGATTACAATTATTACAATTTAACTGTCATTTTCAATGTTAATCAAGTATTTTTTAAACTACATATCTTTCTAGAAATATAAAGACAATTATTATAACAGAAATAACTATAAAAATGAACAGCTTAATACTTATTATAATTATCATAATTATTGCTATTATAATATTAAGCATAACGTTGATAGAACTATATGTATAGTATAATTCTATCAACAAATACATACAGTTGGCATCGAAAGTGACCATAAATTACAGTTATTATTATAAAAAAATAGTTGCAACTACAATAATTTAACTGTATATAATTTAACTGTGATTTTCGGTGCCAACTTTATATGTATATTTATTGATAAAGCTCTACATACTTATACATAAAAGTTATACATAAGTTATTATTACTAACATTGAAGAAGTAATAATCATAATTATGATAACATGTAATTATTAGTCACAAATACCAAAAATTTTTCTCTCAGTGTACATGTAAATATATTTATTTATTCCAAATTTACTTTATCCGGAAGCAAATTAAATTACGCCGTTTTTTATTCTTGACAAGGACAGAGGATCATTTGGTGATCTCACCATACTCTCCGGAATTCGAGATCTTTGTTGTATCCAGGATATGTACCGCTACGGTGCAAGTCCGGCAACTGTCGATACGGTGTTTTATAGTGATTCTCACACGATGGCAGAGAACGGGGAACATCTCCTTGAAAATTATGGCCTCGTAGAATTTCGGACAGTAGGTTTGCCATGCTTCACTCGTTGATCCCTGAAAACACTACAGCCTGTAATCGTTTGGTTCGGCTGTGTAAGGCCGTGTCTTCTATAAATAAATACTTCTGGTCGGTAGTAACAAAGTTTATGCATTAAACACCTAATGTTATATATTTATTTCCGTAGGAGCTAAAGATGTTTTGAAATTTTATCTCCGCGTGAAAATAAGAGCCCTGTAATAAACTCTTTCGTACCTTCATTCCAGCGAATGATATTTGCACGTAGGGATTAATGTTCTCGAAATCAGTTTTTCTGCACAAGCTGCTCATGTCGGGTAAACCGTCGGCGCGATAAACAATGAAAACGTATCGAGCACGTTGCCTGAACGGCAGTTTCTCACCACCGATAGGAAGCAGGAGGTTCCTACGTTCAAGCGCGAAATTCAAGCAAACAATGGAAATTCTGATAAGCTACTCGGTGTAAATTATGGATATGTCAATGATGAGAATTTATCTTTTAGGAGGGATTACCCTTCGATATCGTCTTCATCTAATATTTCTGGATGCACCTTGACTTTCTCATCCTTGACGTTCACTGTAATGTTGCACTTTACGTAACCCTTCGGACCCGCCGTCAGATCCTTTGGATCTGTCAACACAGCCCACTTATGATAGTATTGACGATCTACACACAGAAGCAACAACCTGAAAGTGCTTCTTGATAAATCGAACGTATTTATTTTTAATTTCTGAAGCGTTTCTCCGATGTCTATTTCTTCATTTTTATTTGTAAACAGAAATGCTTATACTTTTCGAATAATTAAGGTAATTGGAGAGTCAGATTCCTCGAAATCTTTGACAATTTTGTATAAGTAATTGAACAAATATGTGAAAGTGTGTTAAGCGATATTCATACGACATACAAAAAGTAAAAAAATATATTCTTTATTGACAAATAATCATATACGATATATATGTGTATTTAGTTTCTTATTGACAAATGCTTAGTTTGAGTAACATTTATGCAATATAAAAAATAGAAAAAAATATTTTTTATTAACAAATATAAGTATACTATACACACATACATATATATAATAAAAGTATATTTCGTTTCTTTTTAGTTGTTTCGCAATGATAGTTTTCAGTGGTTCGATTTTAATTAAAAATCTTCGGAAGATTTTCCATTATCTGATAATTCACTACAAAATAAATCAAATAAAAATTAGCAGAATGACAGAAATTATTTTAAGAAACTCTCAATTTTTGTTTAGTTTTTTTACACTAAAGAATTAGTTTCGTAAAACGAAATATTTTAACGGCATTGTTCATGATTCACCGGATAGCGGCAAATCTTCTGAATACTTCTAGCTAAAATGCACCATAATCGGATTACCGCGAAGGGAGATATCATTGCAAAACCACGAACTCGAAAAAGAAACAGAATATATTTTACACTGTCAGAAATTTTGTTATAAATTCAAGTAACGTGTAAAGGAAGCTTGTGGTTATGAAGTAACTTTTTTATGAAAAGTCTTTCATAAAAAGTAATGAATAGTTTAACTGGAAACTAAATTACAGTAGTAGTTATGTAATGACTGTGTATGCATTAAATTTCATGCAAATCCAAATAAAATTTTATGAAAAGTATACTAAATTTCATAAAATTTTGTGAAAAGTACATTAAATTTTATGTACATCTATACAAATATATTTTTCAGTAACACTTACATTAAATTTAATGTAATGTAATGTTATGAAATTAAATTCAACCTATGTAACTTAAAAGTATATTAAACTTCATGATATTTTTTTAACAGTGTAGTTATATACATATACATATTTCGTATATTTATATTTGTTAAAACAATGTATTTTTCTACTTTTTATTTGTTGCATAAATATAGCTCAAAATTTTACTATTATATATTTATTCAGTTTTTCATAAAAAATTGTTAAAGCAAGTACGATTTTCAAGCATTATGACCCTCCAACTCTTTTAAGCTGTTTGCCACTTAGAAAGAATTTATCTCTTCCTTTTAATTCACTGTATCAGTAACAAAGCTATAAAGTACATTCGCATTTTCTTTATCTCTATTTTCATTTTTCTTTTTGGTAACCTGGTTGTTCCCATACTGTGGCAACTTCGAAGGAAGTGTTTCCGTGAAACTTTAGTCGCCGAACAAAGTTGCGCAGATAGACCGCTATCGTGATTCTCGTGTTTAGCAGATTGTCCAAACTGCATGTGAAGTCGAATACAAAGTACTGTGTATTTAAAAGGCAAAAGGTAAATATGTAAGTCCACATGAATAAAATATCTTTGTTCACGCACATAGTATTCCAAAAGTTAACCGTCAGAAAAATTTCAGGAAAGCTTAAAAGAACAGAATCTTCAATCTTTATACACTCTAAAGTTCTTGAATTTAAAAGATTCATATCTGCAAGAATACTGCATAACTTGACAAGTTTCTAAAATTTTAATAATCTATGATGTCGTTTTAACCACAAATTGCAAATGTTTTAAAATAAATAAACAAATTTAATTTTTAATTTATGAAATTTGATAGAGTCTAAAAACTTCAAAACTATTTGAAGCTTAGAAATATATATAAGTTCCTATGTATAGACATGTCCTACACGTCTCCTATACATATCTACAATCTTCAGAGAACTCAAGAATTCTGGAAACAAATCTAAATTCTTTAAACTTTCAGTTTTAAGTTTTAAATTTTAAGAACTAGGTTAACAAAGATTTGAATATTTTAGTACTCAAAGATTGTGCAGATGTCTGTCCAGTCAGTCCATTCTAACTTGTAATTTCAAGACGAACGTTTCATATAAATTAGTTTTGATAGATTGGATAACTTCACCTCGTTATAAATAGGATTGTCAGTCTTCTCACGTAACACTGTCCTTCTCTTGCGATTTCCAACTTTGACGACGACCAGCGGATTCGCATTTTGTGGCAAATGTCTTGCTTCGAGTATAGTAATGCAAACTTGGTAGATAGAGAACTTCGGTCTGAATTTCTTGAAAGGCATCGCGGGCTACAAAATCGATTGCTGATATTGGCCACACGCCAGATGCGATTTGCATTTGTTTAACTTGCTGTTTGTTTGTTTTTGGACACTCCAAGTGCGACGGCTTTGAATTTATGCACGGCACTATACAAGGCGGCGAACAAAGTACGAGAATATTTGGAATACGTTTGATAAAACTCTCTCGTCAATAAAACTTTCTTTATTCACTTTTATAATTCATAGTAACAGTTTTAGTGTTGTTAAAAAAAATAATACATCTTTTTTCAAAATATTATATGAAGTATCTGCTTCGCATTTAATACATCTTCACTGTATCAGTAACAAAGCTATCTACATACTTTTTTACAGGTATAGGAAACCATTGTATATTTTACACATCTACTTAAAAAATAATTGTTTTTTATGTTTAAAATAAGTTTCGATTTTTTTATATTGTATGATTTATGATTACTATTTTGCAATTAAATACAGAATTGTATTTTTTTATACATATATTTGTAAACAAAAGAATTTATCAACAGATTTAGACTTTTATTCACATACCATCAAATGGTATAATTTGTGCAAGAGTTAACTGCAGAAGATACACTTTTGACTATTATTGATATAAAGTCTAGCTTTCGTTCTTACCTACTGTTGGTTCTTACAACTCGACTAAAAGTTTCATCGTCTGTCGCTTCTCTCAAAAGCAAACAATATGGAAAAAGAACATTTATAATTATACAATATATATATATGTATATATAAAATATATGTATACAGATATTAATATTATAAATAAATATTATAAATATTATAAATGACTAATTTTTAATCTTATTAAAAATTTTTATTTTACAAAAATTAATGTTTTTTAATAACATTCATTGTCATTAAATGTTTAAATTTAAAGTTTGGAAAAGAAAATATAAATGTGCAATATAATAATTCCACTGCAATATTTGCAATATCATAATTCCGCTTTTAATCTGAAACTTGCGCCGTGGAGTAGATATTCCTACAGCGTCTGATGTAATCGGATTGCAGTTCTTGAATTTTGGAAAAGTCGTTGGTTAACTTATATTTATTTCTTATAATCTTTTTTACAATTGCAAAAGTTTGTTTTATTTTTATTTTCGATCTCCGTACGACAAATAATTAAAATATATACAAATTTTATGTTATTATTTCCGCTGCCTTCACTTAAAAAAAATAAAGCAAACTGAAGTTATTTTTATAAAACATGAACTTTTTACAATAGAGACGTGGATTTAAGTTATCAAAGAACTTCTTCGAATTAAGATTAAATTTATCTCATAACGATTTTTCTATAAACAGAAACTGCGTATATTCAGATAATAGATTTCACCCCGACTTCATGTCGTTTCTGTCGAAGGCCACCTTGTCAGACACAAGTGCGTACTTCACACGTCAATTTTGTGTCAGTCGTGTAAATACAGGCCTCACCTGACAAAGTACTTATCCACCGTTCTGACAGCAATCGAAATACAGTCGTAATCTAAAATATTGACGCGTAATTAAACTAGACATACCGCAATACGTACCTACATAAAATATTTCTTTCATAAAAAGAACTAAGCGCTTTATTAGAAAACCATCATTTATAAAATTAATCTATTTTAATAATTCTTCTTGAAGAATTCTATTCTTTTTTCTCTTAAAATACTATTTCTTTTCAATCAATTTAACATAAACAAATTTCATTAAAATATTAAATATTAGAGGGAAGTCTTAAGATCTTCTGAAGAGACACCCTTATTTTTTGGAAACTAACTATTGCATTTTATTAATACTGATAAAAACATGATCTATTTAGAATTTAGATGATTAAAGAAGTGATAAAAACTCATAATTCATATTTGTGACTTGTTTCTATACAAAATCAGCTATAAACAAATTCTACAAATGTGGAAATTCGTATAATTTTCTTAAGAGACAAAAAGTTTTTTATTCTTGTACATAATTCAGTTTAGGAAATAATTAATCTACAAAACTAATTGAGATATGTGATGAAGTTTTAAAAAATAGTTTCTTTGTCCATTTGTCCCCTTAACTCCTGTCTGTGGCTGAACTTACGGGAAACACACACACACAAATGATTTACAACTTGCAACAGCACGTGTCGAAGTATATGAGACGTGCCCATAATAGCTTTCGAATATACACCCTCTATTACACGCCCTTACTGGTTCATTCGAATCGCCGTTCCTCCCTTACGAATTGTCAACTATGCGAAACGTATTGACGACGTCATCGATATCGTGGCGCGTTTCTCTTTATTATTATGGAAATCTAGTGTGAAAAAAAGCCCTCGATAAAACACGAACGATAAAGGCCGAGGATGCGGACAGTTATTAATGAGAATGAATACTCGCTTACGGTCGACGCTTGAAATTTTCCCATGCGAGCGTATCGTCGCGAAATTAATTGTCCTGCGCTTGCAAAGGAATCGCCAAAGTTAACTATATAATTAAGTATTATAAAGATGACTATAATTAAGTATTATAAAGATGATAATCAAAAATATAATTAACTTTCTGAATTTATTTAATATAACAGAAAGTCGAAGATAATCGACTTACGTAATGCAAATGATTAAAACGCGAAAACTTATAGAACGTCTAATGACAGTTATTTATATGTGTCTATAACATAAATAGTTTACTCTTTTAGAAAAAAAATTTTATTTCTTAACTATATTCATAATAATTGTAAGAATATAAAAGTGATTTATTCAAATTTCGGAAACAGCTTAATTGTCAAAATAATGTTTAATTGACTCGCTAATAAGTTTTTTCTTTAAGATTCCTATAAAAGATCGAACTATATATCGCGCTTTGTCTCGTTTCCAATTTTCATAATTCCGGAAGTTAATAGTAAAAAGTAGTCTCGTAGGGTCAATTATTTGTGCTCGGCGAATTCATTATCACGTTACAACGTCATTATCAACTTAAATCCGCCAACTTGCTTCTAATGAAGGTCCAAATTACAATGGCGCAATGCGCGCCGTAAATTTTTGTCCCCCAAAAACGCGGAAAACGGGCGAAATTACCGAGTAATCGTCGCAATGACGCGACGAGGGGGGAAAAAAAAGGAAAAAAAGCATAATAAAACGAGGAAAAAAGCTAACTCTCAGGGGTTGAGACAAGCGTGTTAGCCGCGGGGTTGTAAGTTAACCCCGCTAACTGGTCGCGGAACACGAGCGACCCGACGGGGGTGCCTCGCCGTCGGGGGTGTTCGTTATGCGAGCCCTTTGAGAGGGTCACGTGCCCGTGCAGCCGACCCCTCAAGCCGATATCGTATTTGTACAACACGCACGGCCATTATTGTAATACGCCTGTTTGTGTGTTTTGCGCAGTCTTTGTGCGCCACCCCCTACATGATCCATCCGTCTCTCCTCTCCTCTTCCTCCTTCTTCTCCCTTATAGTTTTTCTCTTCTCTCTCTTTCTCCGTTTCTCCTCTTTCCTCTCGATCTCCTTTTCTCGCTTTTTCTTTTCTTTTTCTATTTTCTCTATGTTTATATAGTAAACAATTTGTAGTCATGGAACAAAAATGCGATGTTTTATATCTTAAACATATTTTCCACAAATTAATATTAATTTTTTAGAACCATTCAGACTGCAAAGAAGTAGAAGCATTAATGCTTCTGCATTTAGTTCATATTATCTTTTTGTTTAAAATTTTCTTGATACTTCTTTATTATATAAGTATTGAAATTTTGTAAATTCATGTTTATATATACAGGGTGTTTGATAATTAATGAAAAATCTTTTGCATAAAAAATTCTAAAAAAATTCTCAAAACTTTATGAGAAGAAAATAAACAATTTTTGTCTCTTACAGTTTTTCTGTAAAGTTGATAGTTTTTTAGTAAAAAATTATTGAAAATCAATTTTCGGCAATTTTTAGCAATTAATATCTTGTTAACTATTACAAAAATTGCAAAATTGTAAAGGACTTTTCTTCTTAGTTTAGTCCATTTTGCCTCTATGCAAAAGATTTTTCATTAATTATCAAACACCCTGTATTTATTCGTTTTCTCTTTTTCTTTTATCTTCTTTTTTTCGTTTTCTCTCTCTCTCTCTCGTTCTTTCTCTACTGCTCTACTTTCTGACTCCTTGCAATTCTCGCCCGCCGAGTTTTCGCACACTTGTCGCGCAGATTATTATTGCGAGCGGCGGGTTATTATTGTTCCGTGAAACAATGAGCACTCGCAATCTGCAAAAGGGTGAACTCGGCCGCCCTCGCTTCGACGGATCACGTGGGAAACGTCGTGGCTTTTTTGTTGGGCGCAACGCAGCTTTTCTCTCAAACATCGTGGGATGCTAGAAGGCGGCTGTCGCGCGTCAATTCTGCTTTTAACCCTTCCGATTCTCTTACTCGATGACTTCATCAATGCGCCATTTTTGTGTTATAAGGATAACCCAGTAAACACCAACCTAGACACCAACTAAAAATAACAACATTATATTATAATTTTATATTCAATGATATAAATGTAATATAATACATGTTACATAATAGTTTTATTATTGAAAGAGTGCACAATTGTAACATCGATAAACAATTATGATACGAATTTGAACACTGATGAAAATAAACTTAATTAAATAAGAAAAATTCGATATTTAGTCAAAACAGATCTTTGTGCTATTTAAATATTTCTATATAAATATTTTTACGTAAATTTATATACATATTTGATTCTGCAAACCGCACGCCAGTCTTAAAATGTAATCCTGAGCAGAGCCAGAGTAGTAATGTCACTTATTAAATTGACAAGCAATTTAATAATTTTTGATATTAATAAGCATGTTTATAAGAATATTAATAATGATGTTAATGAGAATGTTAAATCTGCAAACAATTTATTGCGAAAATCATTACCTCAACCGGGATGAATCGGATTAGTATTATTACTCTGCTTATTGCGTTTCAAGATCGAAAAAGACCTCGGCACACAGTTTGCAGAATTAGATATAAATTTGCACAGATTTATTT